CAAATGTGCAAGAAAAGATAAAAAATAAGAAGATTTGTTATAAAAATTAGTTTGGATACAAAAATTCCGATAATTGGGAAAACTATAAAGATGCTCGTAAGGAATCTAAGAAAGCTATTTGCGATGTAAAGAACTTAGCTTTTAATAATTTATATGATATATTAGATACTATGGAGGGAGAAAGATATATGTATAAGTTAGCCAAACAAAGAGATAAGAGTAGTAATGATTTAGTTCAAGTGAAGTGTATTAAGGATGTGATGCAGACATTCAACCGTCCATGTCTATTCGAGGAGGAGCTGAAGATCGACGGTTGTGATCGTCCTACGTTGTCTTAAATTTTATTTGTAATTTTTATTTTAATTATTCATTTTTTGTTTTTACCCTTACTTAAGGGTCTAATCTTATGTAAGCCCTAAGGGAATGATCGTCTTATTTTAGTTTCTTTTATTTTTGAGGCCTATATATAAAGGCTATTGCTAATGTGGAGTTTTAATAAAATTTTGTTATGTACTTTTGTTCTTTGGGAGTACGTTAGTGAGAATCCCTATGGAGGAAATTGTGGTTTCCACCAGCCGCAGGATGAGTCCGGGCTCGTGGTTTGAAGTCCCTTGGTGAAGGGCATCATATCACCCGCCAGTCTTCAGAAGAGTCCAAGGCTCGTGGTTCTATCTTTTTTCTCTTTGTTTTGTTTTTCCTTATTTCCTTAAACCGTCACCTTCTAAAACCCTCCACCAAGGCGCTATCCTCTCACCGCATCACCTCCACACCATCGACTTACACCAGCCCCTTTCTTCCTCCTCCCTCCCCTTGGCCGAAATCCACCAAGGCTCCACCCACTAGCTGGCCACCTCCTTAACTCCACTTCCCTCCAAAAATCCCTCTTTTCTTATTTAAGTTGTCATTAATTTGGAAAGATTTTATATTCAAATTAATCTAATTTGAATTTCAAATCTATCATCATTAATTACATTAATTTTGGAAACTTCTTTCATTCAATTAATTAATCAATTCTGAAATTGATTGGTTAATTAATCCCTAGCCCAAATATATTGAACCTAGACACCCCTATTCCCCCATCCCTCTTTCTTCCTCCATTCAATTAATTTCCTTCCCTTTATTGCTCCCCAATTAACTCCCATATCTTAATTTTGAATTTTAAATTTTGAAAGGTCTTTATTGCCTTTTCTAATTTAAGATTTTAATTAAAGAATTATTCAATTACCCCATTACCATCTTCCTAATTTAGCCCGATCTTATTTGGAGAGATTTCGTAATTCAAATTCAAATTCGAATGAATTTGAATTTTAAAATCTTTCCTAAATATCCTATATCTATTTTAGGAAATTCCTCTCAATTAGTGCAAATCTGAATTAAATGATTGGATTTGAATTTAATTTCACCTATTCAATGTATGTGTCAACATACATTGAATGTGGACAATTCTCCCTTTCTCCTCTCTTTTTTCGGCCTCCATCCCTCCCTTCTCCAATAAATTAAGAAATTTTAAAATTCAAATGACCCTCCTCCATCGTTCTACATTAGGATGAAGATAAAAAAGTATTTTTCTTAGAAGATGATATTCAACAAAGGTGGATGAGATATTTTGCTAAACTTTTTAATGAAAAATGTGAAAATACAATTGACTTTAGTGAATTTAGCACCCTATGTGAAAATAAATATTTTTGTTTTTATCGGCGTATTAGTAAAAACGAAGTTAGAGAGACTTTAAAGAAAATGAAGTATGGAAAAGCTATTGGACCTGATGATATTCGAATAAAGATGTGGAAATGCTTAGGAGAAGAAGAAATTTCTTGGCTTACTAAACTTTTTAATACTGTTTTGAAGATTAAAAAGATGTCAGATCAGTGAAGAATGAGTGTGTTAATTCATATTTTTAAGAATAAAGGTGATGTACAGGAGTGTGCGAACTATAGATGAATTAAGTTAATGTATCATACTTTAAAACTATGGGAGCGAGTTATGGAGCGTAGGTTGCGGCGTGATACTAATGTTTCTCAAAATCAATTTGGATTCATGCCGGGTAGGTCTACTATGGAAGCCATACATTTATTGAGAGGTTTGATGGAGAAATATAGAGATAATAAGGAGGATCTAAATATGATATTTATTGATTTAGAGAAAGCATATGATAAAGTTCCAAGAGAAGTGCTATGAAGAGTTCTTGAAAAGAAAGAAGTTAATAACGCTTATATTCAAATCATTAAAGATATGTATATAAGAGCTATTACTTGTGTTCAAACACAAGGTGGTTTGACCAAGTATTTTCCTATTTCGGTTGGATTACATCAAGGATCAGCCTTAAGTTTATATATATTTGCTTTAGTCTTGGATGTTCTCACTAGACATTTGCAAGAAGATGTACCTTGTTGTATGCTTTTTGCTGATGATATTCTTCTTGTTGATAAGACTAGATAATATAGTGGGACAAAGGCTTGATGTTGTTGTTGTTGTAAGAATTTCATACTAATGAGCTTGAACTTTCTATTATTATCGTTATTTACTGAACCTGACCAGCTAGTTTGCTTTTTAGTCATGGCATTTTATCCATGCTTTTAGTTGATATGACCAAGTATTTTGTTGATCAATTTAATTGTTTTTAGAAATTTTTTCATGGTAGAATGTTTATACAAATTTATGAGTCTTAACAATATAATGGATGCAGTCATATCAGAAAGCTCTTAAGGTGGACCCCTCATACAGACCGGCTGCGGAATGCCTTGCAGTTGTCCTGACGGATATTGGTACCAGCTTAAAACTTGCTGGGAACACGGAGGCTGGTATTCAAAAGTATTGTGAAGCACTTAATGCAGACAGTCGATATGCTGTAAAGTCACCACTAATGTCTCTTTTTTTATGCAGTTGACATTATCTTTTGATGATTACACATGACAATCTTTTTGATGCAGCCTGCATATTATAACCTTGGAGTGGTTTACTCTGAGATGATGCAATTTGATTTGGCCCTTACTTGTTATGAGAAGGCTGCCTTGCAAAGGCCTATGTATGCAGAAGCATACTGCAACATGGGGGTCATCTATAAGAATCGTGGGGACCTAGAAACTGCTATTGCTTGTTATGAAAGGTACTCTGTACTCTGATGGGCATTCTTCATTTATTATTTTGGTGAAAACATTGGTTTTTTAGTTGTTGCAGGTTTAGTCTGGCTTTCATTATCATCATCATCAACAGGCTTATCAATTATTTGTGCATACTTTTATCTTTTTGGTATTTTATTTTCAGGTGTTTGGCTGTATCTCCAAACTTTGAGATTGCAAAGAATAATATGGCAATAGCTTTGACTGATTTGGGTACGAAGGTGGGTTGTATGTTAACTAGAAATATGTTTTGGCACTAATATTTTTTTTTTCTTTTTTAGAGTTAATTTGAACTTTACTAGCCATTGTTGTTTTAACTCTATTATTTTGTTATTTATTACGACTTATTTGCAAGAAAACGAACATTTTGTTGGTACATTTTATTCATTTTCCATTGTAGGAATATAATCTTTTATATTACCATTGTGTCCACTGCATAACAAGAGTTCTCTTTTCCATCCGATTTATTTATTTTATGGTGCAATAACACTTCATTTGTCTTGTGGAAGCATGCGCTGTGATGTCTTTTTCCATGTTGAATACTATAGCTATCAGCCATCATGATGTTGCTACTTATTACTCTTTTCCAAACATCTAGTATATGTCATATTTTCACTTTTTATTTAGCATCCAAGTTACCATCTCAAAGTGATGGATTTTTGTGGGATAGTTCAACTTATTTCAGTTACACTAATCGCCAAGAATTGATGAATTTATTGAGATTTTTGTTGTCATGAAAGGGTAATAAACAATTAAGTTCTCTACAACAAATTGTTTATATGGGAACAGTTTAGTCAAGTAACTAGGTTCTTGGATTGGTCTCCGCACGCCTGTGTAATTTCAGCATTGTTTATTAGTTATACTAAATACTATAGACCATATCCTTTTAAGCATTACGCTTTTTAAATGTACTTGTTTTCCTTCTTCCATTTAGTAAAAATATTGTGCACAGATTAGTTTAAATGGGTTGGGAAAAGATTAATAGTTTAGGATTTAAACTTTGGTATTAAAATATTAGTCGTATTAAAAATGATATAGATGTGATTATTAATAGGGGTTTGAAGGATAATGTTGTAGAAATTAATAGAATTGAAGATAGAATTATATATTTAATGATTATTGTTGATGATAAGATTATTAATATTATAAATTTTATGCTTTTTAAGTAAGTTTGAATATGCATTCAAAAATAAAATTTTGGAATACTTAAAAGAATTAATACAAAGAAAGACTTCTTGAAAAAAAGAGAGTTTTTATTGAAGGATATTTAAATGAACATGCTGGTAGAGTTGTATAAGTTTGTAAAAGTAATCACGAAGGTTATGAATTTGGAACGACTAATGAAGTTGGTAGGATCATATTAGATTTCTATCTAACTTATAATTTTATAATTGCTAATATTTTATTTAAGAAAAAAGAAGAACATCTCACCATTTATAAGAATGGGCATAGTGAAACTCAGAATGATTACTTTCTTATAAGAAAAATAGATCGTTTGGATTGCAAAGACTGTAAAGATTACAAAGTCATCCCGAGTTAAAATTTATATACCCAGCATAACTTATTAGTCTTAGACTTTATAATAAAGGGGTGTAAAATTAAAAATAAAATAAAATATTATCTTAGGATTAGATGAGGCATTTAAATAATGCTAATAAAAATACTTTTGAGAGTAAGATTCAAGATCTTAAGGTTTGGGTTATTAATGAGGAAGTGAATATTTTGAGAGAAAAAATAGCTTGTGAGATTAAGAATGTTGTAAAGTATGTTTTTGGAGAATCAAAAGAAAAACTCATAATAGTAAAATTAGATGGTGGTAGAATTAAAATGTGCAAGAAATGATAATAGATAAGAAGCTATGCTGTAAAAATTAGTTTAGATGTAAAAGCTTAAAAAATTATGATAAATATAAAGGGCCCGTAAGAAGTCTAAAAAAGCAACATGTGATGTAAATAATTTTGCTTTTAGTGATTTATATAATAGATTATATACCAATAAAGACGAAAGATATATGTATAAGTTAGTCTAGCAAAGAGATGGGAGAAGTAAGAGTTTAGTTAAAGTGAGAAGCGCATTTAGGATGAAGATAAATTTTTTTTCTTATAAGAGCATATTCAACATAGGTGAATAAGATATTTCTATAAACGTTTCAATGAAGATTGTGATAATACGATTGATTTTAGTGATCTTAGTATCCTAAATAAAAATACTGATTTTTATTTTTATCATCGTATTAGTAAAATTGAAGTTGAGAGAGGCTTTAATGAACATGAAGTGTGGAAAAATAGTATGACTAGATGATATTCCAATACAAGTGTGGAAATACATATGAGATCATGAAATTTCTTGGCTTATTAAACTTCTTAATATTATAAGACTAAAAGATGGTAGATGAGTGGAGGAGTGTGTTAATTTCTATTTTTAAGAATAAAAGTGATGTACAAGACTGTGAAAATTATAAATGAATTAAGTTAATATTTCATACATTAAAATGTTAGTAGAGAGTAATTGAGTATAGGTTATGACTTGATACTAATGTTTCCAAATCAATTTGGTTTCATGCCGGTGGGTTTACTATGGAGGCTATACATTTATTGATAAGTTTGATGGAGAAGTACAACGAGAGTAATGAGATTTACCTAGGATATTTATTGATTTAAAAAAAGTATATCATATTCTAAGAGAAGTGATATGGAGAGTTCTAGAGAAGAAATGAGTTAATAATGTTTATATTCAATTCATTCAGGATGTGTATGTAAAAGTTGCTACGTGTTTTCAAACACAAGGCGGTTTGACCAAATATTTTCCTATTTCAGTTGGATTACATCAAGGATCAGCTTTTACTTTAGTCTTGAATGTTCTTACTAGACATTTGCAATACCCTAGTGTATGCTTTTTGTTGAAAAGACTAGAGAGGGAATTGAAGGAAACTTGAATTATGGAGGTCAACCTTAGAAACTAAAGATTTTTGTTTGAGCAGATCTAAAACTTAATGCATGGAATATAATTTTAGCATTAATAAATCTAGTGGTGGGATTATGACATTGGGTGATCAAGTCATTAAAAAGAGTGAATGTTTTAGATATCTAAGGTCTATTGTTCAAAGCGATGGTGAAATAGATGGGAATATTATTAGTTGAATTCAAATTGTATTATTGAAGTGGAGGAATGCATTGGGCCTATTTTGTGATAGAAAAGTATCCCTCAAACTTAACGAAAAATTTTACAAGATATTGGTGAGACCTACAATGCTTTATGGCACCAAATATTGATCATTAAAAGAGAAGCATAATATTAAGAGTTGTAGAGATGTGGGTGCTCAGGTGGATGAGTGGCTTTACACTTAGAGACATAATGTGAAATGAGTATATATGTGAAAAGGTTGTAGTAGCTACAATGGTGTATAAGATTAGAGAGAGTTACCTTAGATGATTTGGTCATTTAAAACGCCGGCCTTCCGATGACCCTACTAGGAGAGTAGATATATTAGATCCAACTTATGTTAAGCGAGATTGAGGTAGAGCTAAAAAGACTTCGTTAGAAAGTAGTATAAATGACATTTATTTGTTAGGTTTAAATGAGAATTTGACTCTTAATAGGCACAATGGAGAAAAACAATTCTGTTAGTCGACCCATATAGTGGGATAAAACTTCTTGTCATTGTTGTCGTCATCTAATTTTACCTAAAAATTCTACTCTTATATTGCATGAAAATTCTTATCCATGTCAGAACTGCTGGTATGCCTTTTTTATTATGAATGCAATCTTAGTGGAATGAGCTGTGTTTCAAGGACATTCAGCTGGATTGGCTTTCCATCTCATTTTGTTGGATAGCCTTCCTTTATGCCATATCACTTGCTGCTATCAGACCTTCTGTCCCTAACTATCTTGATGCGCTTCAAATCTTTTCTTCTGCATTGTAATTCCTAAGTAGCCTGACCTGTCCGTGCTTGAGATTTATTAAACTTTTTGCTTGCTCAAACAATAGTCCTATCATGGCTTGATGTTTAATTTTCATGTTACAATTTCTTAGATTGATTACCAAATATGTGAAGCAAACATACTTGTATATTTAAGCAATTGAATTTAGGCAACATGCGTAAAAACCATGACGAATATGCTTAGATCAAATAGACTATTAAATCATTTTCCAGAGTCCTTTTTTTTGAGGAAGTCAAAGTAACAAATGGAAGTTTTTTTATTATCCATGCTGGTTACTGTTATTATTTCATTCCATTGCTGGGTATTCTGGAGATCCTCAACTCCAAAATGAGCTCTCTCCCTTTGCAGGCAACTTTTTTCCATTTTCCATATATTTGAGGCCTCCTACCTTGCTCATGTTAGTGAACCTAGCTTGTGACTAATTGATATTTCTATCATCGGTCTATTGGGGATTATTAATATTACTGAAGGTTCCACCTACTGCAAATATTTTATTTAGATGCTGTTTGAGCTGAATTTCTTCTTCTGTTTGAGTTGAAAAATCATTTTGTTACTTTTTTTTGTTCATTAGGCTTCATTTTGATAGGAGATTTCTAAGGTCATAGTTTTTTGTTATACACTTATACGATTTAATTTTATTCTTTCCGAGTTTCTTTTTTCTGAAAGGGGTTAATAATGCTTATATTCAAGTTATTAAGGATATATGCTGTTACTTTTGTTCAAACACAAGGTGGTTTGACCAAGTATTTTCCTATTTCAGTTGGATTACATCAAGGATTAGCCTTAAGCTCATATCTTTTTGCTTTAGTCATGGATGTTCTTACTAGGCATTTGCAAGAGCTTGTACCCTCGTGTATGCTTTTTGCTAATGATATTCTTCTTGTTGATATGATTAGAGAGGGTGTTGAAGGTAAACTTGAATTATGGAGGTCAACCTTAGAGTCTAAAGGTTTTTGTTTGAGTAGATCTAAATTCAAATATATGGAGTGTAATTTTAGTAGTAATAGATCCAGTGGGGATTGTGATTTTGGGCAATCAAGTCATTAATAAGAGTACTTGTTATAGTTATCTTAGGTCTATTGTTCAGAGTGATGGTGAAATGGATGTGGGATATTATTAGTTGAATTCAAATTAGATGGTTGAAGTGGATGAATGCATTAGACTTGTTGCATGATAGAAAAGTCCCCTCAAACTTAAGGGAAAATTCTATAAGATGGTGGTGAGACCCGCAATGCTTTATGGCGCAGAATATTGGCCATTAAAAGAGAAGCATTATATT